CTGATCACCCCTAACCACTTGCCTGCCTGCCCGATTGCCCCTAACCGCCTCTGCCTGCCTGCCTCATTGCCCCTAACTGCTCGCCTGCCTGCCTCATTGGCCCTAACCACTCTGCCTCAGCCCCTGCCTCTGTGGCTTTGTCCGGAAGGACGTCTGGGAGGACGTCCGGAAGGTTGTTCAGCTGTCCAGTCTAATTAGCATATTATGCTTTTATTATTATAGATAGTTATAATAAGTGTACTTATTACATATGAACAAATATAATGCATACCTGGGTGTGAGTATGGCCAAATTTTGGTTATTCGTGGTCATGGGTACAGAGTTGAGGCAAAGTTACTAATGTATAAATTAAATGCAGAGAGAATTAGAAGGATTTTTAAAAAAAATCTTTACCCAAGAATATGTTTTTATTTATTTTTTAGAGAGAGGAAGGGAGAGCACACCTGAGAGAGAAAGAAACATCAATGTGAGAGAAAAACATACATCCATTACCTTCTATACATGCCCTGACCAGTGATCAAACCCACAAACTGGGCATGTGCTTTGACTGGGAATTGAACCCACAACATTATTGGTGTACAGGACAACGCTCCAACCAGCTGAGCCACCTGGCCAAGGCTAGAAGGTTTATTAAATCAGTACTTCCAAATTAATCCACTTGCAAAACTTTAACCACAGATATGAGCTGACTTTAATGTTACTGTCTTTTCCGTCTCAGCTCACTGTCTTGCAGAGTTAGGTGAAATATCTTAATTTATATATTAAACAGTATATAATAGTATATGCTACTTTGTATATCAATCAATATGTAAAAATGGACAAATATAAACTCATTGATTCTTGGGACTTGTCATTCATTCATTTAGCTACTCATTCAAAAAAATGTATTAGGCACTTACTATATACAAAGTACAGTGCTTAGCATCATAGAGATATAAGAATACAGACCTGTCCCCGAGGCACTTACATTTTGTTACAGAGAGAGAACATGCACATGAGTAGCTGTAGCCTATGGTAAAAACAAACCCATAAAATATTAGAAGTGAAACTGATATAACTGCTTTGGGAAATCAGAGGAAGTAGAGAAATCTAGCACGGGGTTCAGGGAAAATCCATGAGGGATGTGACATTTGAGTGGAGTCCTGGGAGTTGGGCAGGGCTTGGACATGAAGGGAAGGTGGCAACAGCACTCACGAGCAGGTCACAGTGTGAGTGTGTAAGGGGCCAGAAGAGGTCAAGGCAAGAATGAAGAACAGTTAGAATGAATCACTGAGTGTCAGGAGAGGAATTCAGGGAGATAAAGCTGGAAAAAAATGTGAGGGACAATCGTATTATCTTTATTGACAGATTACAAAATTTAGTCTATAATAAGAAGGTAATAGGAAACTATTGAGGTCTTTTTAAAAAAGAACTTTTTAGTTTGAGATGAATTTTGATTTACAGAAGAGTTGCAATGATAATACAGAGAGTTCTCAGGATATTTCAATATCATTTAAGTTTTCATGTTTAAAAATATAATTGTTTATGTAGTATTCCTATATTATGTTCCTATAATTGCATCCCTTTTCTCATGCTTAGTGTAGTATATGTGTTGGTTTTTTTCTTACTCAGAAATGCCAAAGATTTGTCTTCTTTATTTATCTTTTCAAATAAATAGTTTTTGGTTTTGTTGACCTGGTTTGTCAGTTTTTGCCCTACTTCATGAACTCCACCAAAGCTACCCTCATGTATATTCAGTCTATGTTAAAACAAACACATGGTTATATTAATGTACAAATGCTATATCAAATAAAGTCCCCTGGTCCATCTTTTAAGCAGAATGCTGAGTCTTACACAGTCACAGAGCTAAGTGATTCTTTTGTCCTGGTTCTGCTTGGAATATGATTGACCATTTCAAAATAAAAATCTGTGCTTTTCTTTAACTCAAAGAAAATTGCTTCCATTATTTATTTCTACCTAGCTATTTCCTTTATCTCTTTCTAGAACTAATATTAAATTAACTAGAGGCCTGATGCACCAATTCATGCAAAGGGCTCAGCCCTTGCAGCCATGGCTGCTTCGGCTGGTCTTTGGAGCCCCCGCAGCCTTGGCTGGCTCTCACAGCCCTGGCTTCGTCTGGATGGTTGTCAAGACTGTAGATCATTCTGCTGTTTGGTCTAATTAGCATATTAGCTATTTATTATTTAGGATGTTTACCTCCAGATTTATCCCCATGTCTCCTGTACTATCTTTTTAAATCTCTTGTCTTGTGCTCTAAGTTCTAGAAGACTTACTTTACTATTTTTATTTATTTTTTTACTTTGTTATCTTTACTAATTTGGCTGTGATCTATGTCCACTTATCTACTTACTCCTCTTTTATTTATTTATTCTTCTAATTTGGCAGTCATATTTTAAATTTCCTGTTCCCTACTTACTCCTTTTATCATAGACTAGAGGCCCGGTGCACAAAATTCGTACATGGGTAAGGTCCCTAGGCCTGGCTGGCGATCAGGGCCAATCAGAGCCTTCTGGCTGCCGACCGGGGCCTTTTTTCCTTCATTCTGCGCCGCGCCTTGGTGGTCAGCACATGTCACAGCAAGTGGTCGAACTCCCAAGGGGACAATTTGCATATTAGCCTTTTATTATATAGGATATTTTAGGGATAAATATCTTCTCACAATTTTTTGAGGATACTCATTGTGATACTCTCTTATGTCCTTCACTACTTGAATTATTTATGTTCTTTTGTTTGCTTGCCTTGAACTTTTCTCTTATTCTTTTAGCTTTCCTCAAATGTTTGGTGATCTTTAGTCCACTGACATTCATGGACAAAGAAATAGATTTGTTTAGGTGGCTCTCAAAAGCCCACTCGGTGGTGAGTAGGTCTGTTTCCCGAGGAAGTCTCCCCTGAAACAGGAAGTCTGATGGAGACTATTACTTTACTGTGGGCAGGCTTCACCTTAGTACGTTTGATGATGGTACTACAGAGTCACACGGGTTAGAGAATCCTTTCTGCAGTGGCTGCCTTTCTTCCCCCTTCCCTGCCCATCATTCTTGTCTAAGTGTCTGGGGCTACAACAAGCTCTGTTCTGAGGCTTCTAGACCCACTTTCACATCATTCTCATCAAGCAATTCACTTTCATTGGCCAGAGGTCAAAATCCACTGGTGACTATTGCTCAAGGTAGAAGGCAGGACCTCACTGACTGGCTGGGTCAGCAGTTTTGAAAGCAGTTTTTAAATTAGCCTTAAATTACCTCTTACTACTGCCAGAATACTTTCTGAAACACATGTGAATATACCATTCTCCTGCTCAGAATCCTTGAGTAGTGCTAATTTTATATAGAATAAAACCTGTTGTCCTTTACAAAGCATGAAGATCCCTTATGGTTTGATATGGGTATCTGACCATCATCTCCCACCACTTCCCTGCCACAAAGGAAAACTCCCAAAATTCTGAAAGTGTGTGTGGTTTTTGTCACTCCATGCCTTTGCATTCACCATTCTCTATGCTGATGATGTCACCTCTCCTTTACCTACTGGCAAAGACACCCTCAACTGCAGATCTCGGCTTGTGATTGCATTCCTCATGAACCCTTCTTTGGCTTCCCCTAGGCGTCAGGTTTGTGGGTCTATTTATTTAAACTATATTCTCTCCTCGCTCCACAAAATATGTAAAATAGCATAAAACAGATACATGGTAATAGGATAAAATAAGTAAGTGAGACATACTACGTTCAAAGGAACACTAGAGGTGGAAATATAAATAATATTAAGTATTACATGACATTAAATTCTGTAGACTTACACTACAAAGAGATACACTGAAAAGTTGACTCTGGGCTTCCTGCTTGTCAAAGGTAAGAGGGAAACTTAAATGTTTATGAGTTTCACATTTTCCACAAACTATAATAAGGCATTTTGCCAGTTATTGCAAATTAAGAGATAGTTTACTGTACTAAAAAGGCACTTACAAAGGTGACTGGTAAACTGAGAAGTTCCTTCCTTTATGCTTTTCTTGACCCTCAAATACAATCCTATGTAGTTACTATAATGTTTTTGTACATTGATTCCCTCAAGGTGTGAACCATATCCTCGTTACTTGGCCCGATGCTGGATACTTCCTAGTCACTCAGTGAGTATTTGTTACACACACTTGATAACCAGATGTTGATGAGGCCAATGTTTTTGTGTGAGTAGGTGTACAACTAGAAATGAATCATCATTTACACCCCTCATAAACATCATAAAGATTTAACCACCTGAAGTCTTTACAATAATTACCAAAACAATTGGAATCCTAAATAAACACATTGCATGTATATCTCATGGCTCCCGACCAATCCTGTGGGTATTGTTTCTCATCTCAAAGTTGAGGAGATCAAGGAGTTAAATCAATTTCCCAAGGGTTAACAGTTATTTAGAGGCAGAATTTGAACTTAGCACAAGTGCCTGAGCCCAGCCCTGTAAATCTTCATCTTTGCTGTTGGTTCATGCTTTGGCATGTAGTAGATTGATTAGCACTTGATTACAAAATTCAGGAAAGTGGACACTATCTACTGGTGGAAGGGTCATGATGGAAGGACTTTACCAAAGTTCCTTTGTTCTTTAAGGTATATTCCAAAATGTTTTCTGGGAAAAAGGCAGCAACTGTCAGGCAAATAAAATGCTGTAAAATTCACTTTCCATAAAGAATTATTAGGGGATACCCTAATGTAAAATATTTCCAGTTTAAAAAATTGAAATATCTGACCAATTTTCATATATATATACATATCCTATATAATAAAGAGCGAATATGCTAATTAGATGAACAGCAGAACGACCTTCTGGACGAAGCCAAGGCTGCGAGGGCCAAGCCCCTTGCACGAATTTCATGCATCGGGCCTCTAGTACATATATATAATGGAATATGACACAGCTTTTTTTCATTGCAACCAAGAAAACTTATAATGTTGCCATTTTATTAAAGGGCTTACTCTATTTTAACTTTCACTGACCAACGTATGGTTGCTTCTTACCTGAAAGTTGCCGAAACAGCTCCCCCCTGGAAGGGTCACATAACTCACAAAGGGAGGCCCAGGAGATGGCAGTGACTCATACACCACCACACCTTCACTGGGGAACGCAGCCCTCTGTTGCTGCTTGCTTTCCCAGAATTCCTGCAACATCGACACAACGTTCACTGAAAAAGACAAGAAAAATATCAGTTATTCAAAATGGACATACTCTGGCAAAACAAAGTTTTATTTGTGGGGTGCTTTTAGTTGTGAAAGAAACAAATATTACTTAACACAAATGTGTTTATTTCTTCATGAGTATGGGTCAAGTGACTTGGTGCTCTAATTCTAACCACATTGCAGTATTTTAAATTGACTTTACAATTTAATATCAAATTTAAAAATCTCACTCTTTCTTCTTTGAAAATTTGCCTTAATAAACTTTGTCCAGACCTATAATTACCCAGGGCCTCTGCTCCCATTTCTCATAGATTCTTAAACCTGCAAAGTGAAAGCCAAATTTGAAGGTAAAGATGTAAGCAATGTAATTTTAACTGGGACTCGCCTATTATAAGGTTTAAGAGGAAAAAAGGCAGAAAGAAGAAAAGTCTTTCATGCTTCTCCCCACCCAATCTTAAGAATGAAAGGCAATTGTGTAATAAGCAGGAGGCTGGAAAAAGCCATAAGTGAAACTAATAACATGGAGACCTTGTTAAGGACCACGTCTGTTAGATGACTTCAGAAAACATGGTAATGGCTGGAGCCATGTGTTTTAGATTAAATGACCTGTGATAGCCTGCAGAATTTCCAGATCAAATTAGGTTGGTTTGTTTATCCTGTACTGCAAATTGAATTGTGGAAATTAACAAGGATAATAGAATTGTAGAACTTGCGGGTCATGCAGGCAAAGCTCTGCCTAATGCAGGAATTCCCTGCTCAACGCTACTGACAGATGCCTGTGCCTGAACACGTGGAGAGACCTGGTACTTGGCACACCTTGAGGCAGCCTATTTCAAGTGCTAATGGTTCTGACTGTGAAAAGGTCCTTTTGGGACTGAGCTGAAATCTGCTTTTCTGTAAAGTTCATTTCTGGGGCCCCCTAGAAGCTTATCCCCTTATCCACAAGAGAGCCTACCACATAACTTGAAGGCAGTGAAGGGCGTCTGTTGTTTTTACCTGCCTGCCATTGGATTCATTCCTCTCTTTGTGGAAATAGCACAAAGGTTTTTCTTAAACAACTACTTTTCCTTCAACCATGTCTTCTCCAGGGCTGAGGGTGGGAATTTGACCAAAGCCACGTCATCTACCGCCGGTAAGTCCAGGAATTTTGTTGGAAATGTTGGAAGACTAGATTCTTCTTTTTTCACTAGGGTTGCTAGGGTGATAGGAGCTAAGTGTGCTGCTGCCCAAGCAAAGGGGAATCAAGTTGACAAGAAAACCAGCGGAGAAGGACAGAACCAATAGATGGAGAAAGACTAAGTCCTGACAGCAGACTTTGAGCTCCTGCACCAACACATCCGCTTTTTCCTTAAACCGTTTTGAACTGGTGTCTCTCACTTGCATATGAAAATATACTAATACAAACCACTTTTGATTTCCTTAAGTTCTAGATTAAATAATTTTTTGTTCTGCCCTGGCCAGCTTTGCTCAGTGGTTAGATCATTGGCCTGAGAAGGGCTGAGGGTTCGATTCCCAGCAAGGGCACCTAAGTCTATTGTAGGTTCCCCAGCCCCAGTAAGAATGCATGCGGGAGGCAACCAATCAATGTGTCTCTCTTCTCTCTCTGTCTCTGTCTCCCTCTCCTTCTCCCCCTCCTCCCTTCCTTTCACTCTCTCTAGAAATCATTGGAAAAAAATATCGTTGGGTGAGAATTTAAAAAATAATTAATAATACTTTTGTTCTTTAAAGCATTTTTTGTGTAACATAGGGTCTATATACCCTTTGACATTCTCTGGAATTTCCTGGATGTACTTCAAAATGCTGGGCGTTGATATTTTTGAGGGAGTCAGGAGAGTCACATTGACTTGGAGGCAAAAACATTGCACAACCCCCTTTTAAACTGTTTCTAGAGCACCTGACTCCTTTACCTCACCCTAGGTCACAGATCAGTTTAACAGTATGTAGTTCAGGCAAATTATCGAGACATCTAAGGAATTGAAATCCTGTGTATATTTAAATACTGCAGTGTTTAGTTTTCTTTCTTTTCCTCCCCCCCCCTGCTTTATTGAGCTATATTGTGCATTGTTTAGCTTTTAAGAAGTGGTTTGTAAAGAAACTGGGAAAATGGAAGACTACTAGAGGGGATAATTGAATTAAAATATAAAATACAAGTTGAAGTGGTCAAATTGAGATTGGTCACCTAGAGCTTTTCCATTCACTCAAAAATATTTGAAATGCTATTTTCTACCAGTTAATGTAATTCAAAATAGATTTAGAACATTTATTTTATAAATTATATTTCTTCTGTTCACCCCCCTCCTTCCCTCCTATTCCCCAAAAAAACAAGGATTTTGAACTGGTTGATTTGTGTTTCTACTTGCACTTGACCTCCAGAATTCAGCAGAGATGTCTTGAAGATTGAAGCCTAAAACCAAAGCCCGTGCCCTGTTGCTCTGATAGTCACCAAAGCATATTAACCGCTATTTTAAGTAAGTTCATTGTTGAATGATGTTCAGCTGAGAACTAGAGTAGGAAGTTGAAGACTCATGATTATTTAGGTGAAATGAACACAAGAATTTTGGCACATAAAGCTATGTGAATTAAAGAGTTTGAAGGTAGGTACTCAGTAAAATTTCTACATGAATAAAAGTAGCAGATTTCACATTTTTCATTCTGCAACCTTGGAAGATTTCTTTGATGGTTTTATGTATGTCATCACCTCTAAAGAGTGCAACATATGTCCATGCACACACACAATCCATCTTCCTATTTCTATCTCCTCTGGACGACTGCAAAACCAGATGAATGGAGTGCAGAGGGAAGAAGTCCAGCTTGTTATATGGAATTCCAAAGATCCAAATATCAGAGGATACTCTATTTATGAAAAACATGCTCCTCTATTTTTTTTAATATATTTTATTGATTTTTTACGGAGAGGAAGGGAGAGAGATAGAGAGTCAGAAACATCGATGAGAGAGAAACATCGATCAGCTGCCCCCTGCACATCTCCCACCGGGGATGTGACCGCAACCAAGGCACATGCCCCTGACCGGAATCCAACCTGGGACCCTTCAGTCCATAGGCCGACGCTCTATCCACTGAGCCAAACCAGTTTCGGCTCCTCTATTTTTTTGAAGTATCAACAACAAGGTTCATGGACAATATCAAAGAAAATATGAGCAGAGGGTCAAGAACTGCTAAAGAAAACCACCCAAGTTTGAGAATAGGCCCCACATAGTTTAGAGAACTGCAGTTGCACCTTCAATGCTCTGCAGTGAACCTGCCTTCATGTTACAGAACAAACTTGGGCTATCAAGCATGTGCTATCTGGACTGGCTCATCTACACAGGTGCCCACTTCCACCTTAATTCCTCAAGTCTCAAATGAATTTGTGCTGCTTCTCCTGGGCATTGTTATAGTAGTCATTGTCTTGACCTATTTTTTAGATGTTTTTTCTTTATGCACTCCTTCTCAGTTGCCATAAGTATGCTTAAGATGATGAATGAATGAATGAATGAATCAATCAATCAATCAAATGAAACACTCAATATTGAGGCTATTTTTGGCTACTAATTATTAAAATTTTCCCATTATGGTCAAACTTCTAGAAAAAAATATCTTATGTTATAATCTATGTTTTCTTATTTTCCATTCATTTTTAACCTACTACCATCTGGCTTTCCTTTATTTTATCCCACTGAAACTACTCTGGCAAATATCACCAATTCCTAATTTTCAGTCCTTATTTACTTGACTTCTAACTGCATTTGACACAACTGATCAATTTCTTCTAGACAATCTCCTATCCCTAGGCTTTTCTAACAGCAGTCCTCTTGATCTGCTTCTCTATATCTAATCATTTCTTCTGTCTCTCTAGTGGGTTTCTCTCCTTCTGCCCACCCCTAATGTTGATTTGCATGACAATCTTGTCCTCGTTTTTTTTTTTTTACTTCTCTCTGCTGTTCTCCTCCAATGACAAAACCCACCCCCCTAACTTTATCTACCATAATATGCACTGACAGCTCCCAAACATTCTCCTGTAACTCCAGCTTTGTTAATAAATACTTCCATTTGTATGTTGCCCAGATTTAACATATTCCCAAACTCAGCTATTTTCTTTTCCATCAACTCTTCTCTTCCTCCCGAATTACTTAGAGTGTGATGTCACCTAAATCAGAAACCTGGCAGAAACCTTCATTTCCTCTCTCTCTAGCCAAATAAATGCCCAAGATTTGTCAATTCCATATCCTGACATCTTCCATAGTCCCCACTTCTCAGTTTATCCTGCCTTTGCTGCATTGGCTCATAGCTCACCAAGTATATCACAGTACCCTTCTGATTCCAATCACCCTCCCATCCAACCCATCCTCTAATTGTTTCCAGGAAAATCTTTCTGAATCTCATAGCTGATCAAATCACTCACAGCTTCTTAAATCCTTCCGTGAGTCCCTCATTACCTACAGGATCAATAACTGCTTGGCAAGGCATGGGAAACCCTATGTCTTGATATTCTTTCTCATTCCAAACTTCTCTCTTCAAGTGACCTTCCAGGCTTCCACACTCCCATGCTTCTTATGTTACTGGAAAGACCCGTATTTCCATTCTCTCCTTGGAGTGCCCTCTTTCCACTGTCTGTTGTCTTCTTTAATGGTACCTACTCATTTTTTTTTAAGATTTGCCCCCAGTATCAACTCCTAAGAAATAAAACCAAAACAACAACAACAAAAATCTCTAACTCCTTGCTACAGAAACTGCAGTCCTCTGAGAAACAGCATGGATATCACTTGGGAACTTGTTAGAAAGGCAGGATCTCTGGCCACACCCAGGCCCACTGTACCAGAATCTGCTTTCTTAACAAGGTTGCCAGGCAACCCGATGCACGTTGAAGTTTGAGAAGTCCTGCTGTAGGAAGAAGTCATTATTCTCATCTCCTTTACCATGTACCCACTATATGCCAGGCACCATGCTTTTCCTCATTTAATCCTTACAATGTTCCCCGCAAATAGGTTTTTATCACCCACAACTT